CCCCCAGCCCCACAACCACAGCCAGCTGGGCAGGTAGCAGGTTTATTCTCCAATTCTCTTTACAAGGAGCAGGGCAGGCATGGCCGGGGTGCTTTGGGGTGCTCGGGGGGTGCCCACCCCCGGCCTCAGACAGTGCAGTTCCCCTCCCCGTAGCGCCTGCACTTCATCACCTTCAGGTAGGTCTCCACCTTGTGCAGGTCCTTCTTGAAGCAGGAGAGCAGCCCATAGTTCTTCTGCAGGGCGTCCTCGGTGCGCGGGTGGATGTCGAACTTCTCGTAGGTGGGTTTGAGGATCTGGGCACCCCTGGGGCTCCTCTCCTCCAGCTCCTGCCAGAGGAAGGGGTTTGGGGGACCAGCAACCTCCAAGAAACCCCCTTGGGGAGGTTCCTGTGCAGCTTGAGTTTCTCCTCTGCCTCGTGTTTCAAGCGTGTGTTTGCAGGAGTGAGAAGGGAGGGAGGGGGGTGGCTTTTGGGGGGCTTAAAATCAGGGGAAAGCTACAGGGAGACCCTGCAGCTGCCAAGGAAGTAAAGAACCAGGCTAATGAGTCCCTCTTCTCCCACTTCCCCGGTGAATAAAGCCCTAATCCAGACCCCAGGTGTGTGCACCCCGAGCTGAGACCTGCCCTGCTCTGCCCCCTGCACAGGGAGCAGGAGGGTTTGGGTTAAGTCAGCGGTGTCAGAAATGAGTAAAATGTGATCGTTTGTCTAGTTTTTGTCTGCCACTTCCCAGGGCCTGTTCAAATCATCCAATCATGGAATGTTTTGGTTGGAGAAGAGCTTGAAGCTCATCCAGCCCAACCCTTCCCCCAGCCCTGCCCAGGCCACCCCTGCCCCGTGTCCCTCAGCACCATCTCCAGGGCTTGGAAACCCCTCCAGGGATGGGGACTCCCCCCCTGCCCTGGGCAGCCTGGGCCAGGCCCTGACAACCCTTGCCAGGGAGAAACTGTTCCCAAGGTCCAACCTCAGCCTCCCCTGGCACAACTTGAGGCCGGTTCCTCTGCTCCTGCCCCTTGTTCCTGGGGAGCAGAGCCCGACCCCCCCTGGCTCCAACCTCCTCTCAGGAGTTGAGCTCTTCCTCTGTGTGACCTAGATCAAAAACCTGGACATATTACTGATACATATGCCTACTTATTCCAGCTGAAATGTCAGGACAGAAGAGCTCTGGGCACCCCCAGAGTCTGACTCAGGGTAATTTAGATGCTAGAAGATGGAAATAATTGTCCAGACTCATTTCTCAGTGACACGGGGCTCAGAGCTCATGGTGATGGTGACAGGCAGACTTAGTGACAGGGTAAGTTCAACCAAAAAAGGGACCCTGGCAGAAAATGAGCAATTTGATTTAAAAGAAAGCAAAACAAATTACAAGTAACCTGTGCCAAAGGTCTCTCCCCAGCCCTGAACTGTCTCTGTGCTTCATCCAGGAGAGGAACATCAGAGCCCAGACCCCTCTGGGTTGTTCTCATCAAGTCTTGTGGCTCCTTAACCTGGCAGAATTTCCTCCACTTGCAAGTATTTTGGGTGGAGATGGAGCAAAATTGCTGCTGTTTGTCCAGCAGATTTCACTGCTTGGAGGATTCCTTGGTGCTGGGGTTGCAAAGACTCTGGGCCTGTTGGGATCTACCTGCTCCTTCCTGTTCTCCACGTGGTTGTGGCAGGGCTATCCATATTTGTTCTGTGTTTTCTTCTACTCCTCAGTAATGATCTCACTATCTGGAGGTCAGAAAGGTCCAGAGGCTACTGGGGCTTCAGAGTAGAAACTGGGAGGTTTCCCATGGTCTTTGGATCTTGTGGAAGAGCTCAGTTCCCTGTATCTAGGAGTTACTCTGTAATGATGCTGCAACTGCAACTTACCCTCATCAGAGCCTGGATCCCTTCTTCCAGGTCCTTTAGTTTTTCATACACTCTGTCTGAGGTGCCAAAAACCAGGTTGTTGGTGAACACCTTGCTCAGGTATTGCACGGGGGTCAGCCAGGACTGGATGAGCACCAGTGAAAACCGAAGAAGCTCCATGTCCTGGGATGAAGGAAAAGAACAGGTGAGGTCAGGGCTGTGCAAGATGAAGTGTCTGGTCAAGTCCCCTGGGTGTCCTGCTCTCTCTGAAACAACTGGAGGTGACCCAGAGATGTTCCTCTGCTGCAGCTTCAGCAGGGATGGAGATGTTTGCACCTTGAGGAGCAACATCCAGCCCCACATCCCCTGCAGATCCACAGCTTTTCTTATCTTTGAGGTGGAGATACAATTGATAGCACAGCCCAGAAGTGACTTTCTCACTTCATGCAGGGTTTAAATAGTGGGGGGAAAAAAAGGGGGAGGAGGAAAGAAGCAGTGAAGTGCCCACAGGTGGAAACCCTCTGCTCCTGAAAGGAAGCACAGCTGGGCTCTTCCAGCAGGTCTCACCGATTTCTGCTGGGCATCATCCTTCCCTGTGGGAGCAGGGATGGTTTCTGAGTAGCAAAACGCCTGGGAGTTCTTGTTGGTGTGTCTTTGGTCCTCTGGAATGTAGGTCCGTTCCTGTGGGGACATCCCAAAGACCCTCAGGCCACAGACACTTCCCCAAGGTGTCCTGGGGGTTCTTCTTGGCAAGAAGTGAACGGGAGACCCGAGGGGTCCCTGTCCAGGGTTGGCAGGATCAGGAGTTTGTGTGT